CACATAGATAGTTCCCCAGCTAGTTTCAGGTATTAATCTTTGGCATGCTGTATTTGTTGGTAAACACGTCTTGCTGCGAAAGTTCATACCATTTTGTCGTGTAGATAATTTCCCCGTCTGGTTTCGGGCATTAATCTTTGACCTACTGTAATTGTTGGTAAACCCGTCTTGCTACGAGAGTTCATACCACTTGGTCGTGTAGATAGTTTCCTTGTCTGGTTTTAGGCATTAATCTTTGAACTGCTGTATAAGTTGATAGTGTTTGTATTTCTGCCAATTTAACCTGAAAAGGTAAAACCAATTTCATGCGATGTCATGATGTATGAATTGCATGATGCTCTCAAAATAAATGAGATTGTGATATATGCATTTGTGTCGCATATGCTATGATGTTTGTAGAAATGATGTATGAATGCAATGTATGAACATGTCAGTTGTTCTATTGCAGTGTTACAGAATTAGGGAAAATAAATCCCCGATTGTTGCTGGGGATGAAGAATGTAGCACTACAACATTTAGGCTCTTCAGCAACAATTGGAAAACGTTGCCAGAACTCTGAAAATCGTTGCCTAAAACAATAGGGGACGTTTTCTAGGCGTCTCCTGTGCGAGCGTTGCCTATTGTTTGAGGCGACGTTTTTTTATGTTTTTTGAGAACGCTTTTGAAAAACGTCGCCTATAGTAAAGGAATAGGGGACGATTATTTACGGCCTCTGAGACAATGTTTTTTAAGCGTTGCGTTGCCAAATTCGGCTACAATTAACAATCGTTGCCTTAAACCTGAATCAGGAAGATCGTTTTTGAAGTGTAGCCATAGCTTATAGGTTGTTGTTTTATAGTGTCCACATAAAATATACAATTTTGCAATTATTATCAAAATAATATAGTCAATAATAATTGGCTTCAAAAATAATATTGATTATATAACTTAAACCATACATCCATAAAAGTTGTAATATAATAAAATCGAGTTCAAACTTTAATTCAAGATATAGTATATAGAGTACACAAAATGCCTAACGTAACAATATTACTTTTAATATTTTGAAGTATGACCCTAGTAAAATAACTAAAAACATAGTTCAGCAAAAGAACAAAAATCATATTTCAAGTTTAATGCTTTCAACTACAAGCCAAAAAAAAAGACATCATCCAACTCATTCAAGTTTGTCTTCTAGGAGTAAAGCATCCAGATCGTCCTCTTGAAATTCGTTAGATATGTCATCCTCCATAAATTCTTCATCTACGTCGTCCTCTTGAAATTCACCATCTATATCCTCCTCTTGAAATTCATCATCTAGATCTATGTCGTCCTCTTGAAATTCGTCATCTACGTCGTCCTCTTGAATTTTATCATTTAGGTCGTCCTCTTGAATTTTATCATTTATGTCGTCCTCTTGAATTTCATCATTTATATCGTCCTTTTCAACATCTTCATTGATACATTGCTGCATAAGAAAATAAAATAAAACACATTAACCATAAGTATTTTTGGTCCAAAGGACAATTAAGACATCAACAAGAATTAAACCTCGCACAAATAAAAACTAAACCAATGAGCAAAACACATTGTTTATATTCTTCACATCTCATGGATGTGAATTAATTATGAAGGTTTTTAATGGATGTGAATTTTCGTTCTAAACTGTAATAGGTGACATGAGCTTACTTAGCAAATAAATCAATTATGAAAACCATTCTGTTTTTGGCTCACTATTCAGGACTTACAATAGCCTTTAACTGTATGTATGTATGTATGTATAACTTGTGCTATCCTTTTATGTTTATTTTTTGGAGTAAATGAACTCTGATGAACACTCTTACTTGTTGTATCTTCTTTGGTGTTCAGTATCATATGGATAAATTTACAACATACATAGTGAGTGTTATCAAACAAGGGGGTCCCATAATCTTATCCCAGGCAAGTATGTTTGTGAAATATCAATGAAAGCTCGCACAAATAAAACAGTTTCAGCCACTTCTAGGTGTTGTCACTACTTAAACAATTTCAACCACTTACTTTATTCTAGGTGTTGTCACTACTTGCAAATTTTTGCATACATTAACAACCATTTTGATACTATAACATAATTAGAAAAATATAAATCAATAATATTGGTATATATGGTTACCTTTCCATGACATGGAGCATGAGTTGATGTAGATGAATGCATTTGCGGTCTTATATCCTTTGGGGAACTATTAGCATCTCCATGAGATAATCCTAACAAATCTTCAATTGACTCTATATTAATTTGAGGATTGCATTGTTGTATTACGGTCTTAAAAGCATTTTGCAATCTATCAATCTTATCTTGAAACTCGTCCCTTAATGTAGAGACCTCTTCACTGTGGACTTGTTTCAAAGCATTAATCTCTGCCTTTCTCTTTAAGGAAGTTTTAGTTATGTTTCTCCCATAACAGCGTACCCTGCCTGGACACTCCTTTCCAAAAAAAACTTTAAAAGCTTCTGTATCACTTTCCTCCTTTTCAACCATTTCTTGAAGTTGGGACTAGCATAAATTACAAAAAAAAAATATTAGCTACTATTATAGACAATGTTGGCCAATTATATTAAGCAAACGTATTATATAAACAATGTTACATACAATTACTTTTCCTTGTAATATCATGGATAGGACTCACCTTTTAAGTAAGTTAATGCTACTACAAATAGGATATCAAATACTACTGTGAAACCAAGTAATGCTGCAATTGATATCCAGAAAAAGTTGCTATCAAAGTCTAAACCACGACTCTTGAGAACCTCTCTTCCAACCGTGATGTTTCCCTCTTGAATCTGAAAAATAATGATGATGAAAATAACGATAGTAAATATAAATATATAACTGGAGATTCATGTTGATACACCGTCTGTGTAAAAAGTTTTACACTGTAAACAAATTACAACCAGTTATATGCGTGACTTCAGTAGTATTTAGAATAAACGTCAAACATTTGTAATGATCTTCCGATTATGATTCATTGACAATATAAAAAATCATCATCCTGACAATGTATATGAATTAGATCCATATAAACTTATATTGTGACCTATCATGAAACCAAATAAATTATCTTAGAAGATACCTTTTTCCAGCGAGGAGCAAGAAATTCATTGAGTGTTATTCCTATTTCCCCATATGACATGGGAGAAAGCCAAAAACCCCACCTCAACCACTTTGGTAATGATGCTGCAGAGAATAAACTCCATGATGAGTAACTTGGTAATTAGTAATTTAGTACTACCACATGTTATAACTGAGACGATATAAAGCGGCTTACGTCGAGGAAGAATAAAGCCTCCAAACAAGAACATGAGTACTAAGACCAAAGAACCAACAGTTGTAGCTGCAACATCAGTTTTAAAAACTGCAGCAAGGGAACGACACATAGAGGTTGATGACATGTGCAGAGTGATAAGCAAAAGGAACTGGCGGAGGAACCTGATTCAATAATAAATATATAAGAAAAAACTTGCAAAAGAAAAGAGAAAAAGTTTGACTATACTTACATATACACGAGTTACAGACCTTGTTATTTCTGGGCTGTAGCCTATAACATAATATGTTATTGATGTCCAAACAAGAGAATCAAGGACTGAAAATGGAATCTTTAGTATGGCAGCTGGAAGACAGTAAGCCCAAGCTGGATAGAGATAGAATGCTTTCTGCTTATAAACAACGGGTAGTCTAGTAATAGTCATTATCAACTCGGCAACTCCATTTGTCATTAGGCGTACAAGTGTATAGTACAGTGAACCTAATAAATAGTTTGATCCTAACAAGTCCACGTCAAGTTGTGTGCGCAAAAAGACCGTCATTGTTATGATTGCAGTGATTGTAAGCTGCAAAACAAGCGAAAAAAGAAGCAAGTTAGATTTTATATGTTCAAGTACGACTTAGCTGAGTTGAATTGAACTTGAATTTGATAGTAACCTGCACAGTTTTGAATATATAGATAAACGAGTTTCGTTTCATGAGAAGAATCTCCCTCTTCATACAAGCTTCAAACAAATCCCATTTTCCTAAGGAGTACTTGCTATATGATAAAGAACTTTCATGGGATTGAGATTTATCATATGGTTGTGAGAGCTCATCAACTAACATTCTTCCCCAGTAGCTTGTTTTGAAAATTTGAGAGAACTCATCCACTGAAACATAACTGTAAGGAATATCCGTGCGGTACCAGTATTGCCTTTGATCCTTCTTAGAGGTTACCTGCGTGCGCATGAAATTTGTAATTCGTGAAACTGTGAGTAAAATAATTTGAACTTTGGCGCAATGGTAAGGGACACAGTTTCTATTCCTACCTCTTGAAGAAAGTCTGCCACTCCTTTTCTTTCAGGGCACCAGAAACCGCAATCCTTAAAGAACTGGAGTGCTTGACTGCAGGGGCCATGGTATACTATCTTCCCCTCTGCCATCAATATAAGATCATCAAACAACTCAAAGGTTTCTGGTGCTGGTTGGAGGAGTGAAAGCACTGCTGTTGCATCATTGACGTGCACCAATTGCTGGAGACATGTAACTATTTGAAAAGTAGTGGAGCTGTCTAAGCCAGTTGATATTTCATCCATAAAAAGTGCTTTTATGGGACCTACAATCATCTCTCCTGCAATACGATTTGGAAAAAAAGATTGAGTATATATATTAAGAAGAAATATCTATGAAGAATATTTCGTATCTTTGCAGTCCAACCACAAGTATCATATAGCCTTAATTTTCACTGCTCTAGTAAAGAGGCAACACTTCTCGTGTATATTCAGTCAAGAGAAGTAACTTGCAAGTACTTTAAGTACTTACAAGTTCTAAGGAGATCATCGACTCTTGAATTTTTCTCTTTGCAACTCTTAAAATTTGACCTAACTCTATCTTACTGTAACAATGAAAATATTAGTAGCGCTTATACACACAAAAACCAAAACTCACACAAACTCATCGCCTTTAACCCAACAGTGAATTCTAGACGACAATAATATCATAACCGTAGAAGAAAACAATGCGAAGTCAAAAAGAAGTGGGAAGAATAAGTTTCCTCTTCCATCCTTACCACACTCCAAATCGCGCAGACTTGAGACTCCAGCCTTCCGCTCCGATCGCAGCCGCGAGTCCACATGCACCAGAAACAACACGCGACGCCGACAAACACCCTGTAGCACCGAGAACCGTCACTAAAGTAAACCACGACGGCGCACTCCGAGATCCACAGTCTATACCTTCTACCACAGAACCAACACGATCACAAACCCCTCCATCTAGATCCAATGTAACAACAACCCGCAACCCACCAACGATTCTGGGTTTCAGGTACAATACTTTCACCTTTCGATGGCTTGTTTGTTTAATTTGAATTTATGGGAGATTTGTTAAGTTAAGAAAAATGAAGAGATATGGAGGAGGAAGGTTAGCAGAAGATCTAAAAAAATGAGAAAGAAAGAATACTGAGGTTTGGGTTAACGTGTTCTGTTTCTTAAAGTTTGGTCTTCTTTTGTTTTTATTTTTAATAGGAAGTTTTTTCCTTTTTATTTTTATAAAGAGAGTGGAATGTGTCTATATATATATATATATATATATATATATATATATATATATATATATATATATATATATATATATATATATATATATATATATATATATATATATATATATATATATATATATATATATATATATATATATATATATATATATTAGATATGGGTGGTTCCTCCCATTTGTTTCTACTGTAACCTCTTTGCTCTTTTTATATGTTTATTTTATTAGGATTTTAAATTCCTGTGTTAGAAAAATATTTTTTTATATATATATTAATAATATTTAGAGAAAAATATTTGTTTTTTAGTGTATAAGTTTTGGAGGGAAGATTGCCACCAAAAATTTGATAATTCTAAAAAAATTTATACAACATTTCAGAAATATAGCCTTTTATTAGAACTAATGTAACAATCTAAAAATGTCCCCAAAAATATTTTAGGGGACAATTGTCAAACATTGCTAAAGAAATAATATTTTAACGCTCTAAAACCGTCCCCAAAAGCAGTTAAGGGCACAATTAACAACCGTTGGCAAAAAAATAAAAGAGTATCGCTCCATAAACGTCCCCAAAAGTATTTTAGGCGACGATTATCAAGGGTTGCAAACATATTTTTGACAACAATCGTAAATCGTTGCCTATATGAATTTAAGGCAACAATTTCTACATGTTACCTAAAAAAGTGTTGCCAGAGACAACAAATGTTGTAGTGTAGGTCTTAAAATATGTTGAAGTTAAATGCCGGGAGATAGATTTCCGTTGTTAGAGAAATAACTCTGTTGGGAAAGGGAAACTTCGTGAACTGCTTGGGGATTTTTTTGAAATCCTGTTGAGGAATCCTGAGAAGCTTGGCGACTTCACCGGGGAATTTTTTATTGGAGAAGTAATTTGGATATTCTTGCTCCGCCGGGGATATAAGAACACCTGACACCATTAGGCTGTATGTTGAGAATATGGCAGTGACCTTGTAGTAGGATGCCCCTGCCTCTGTACCTGCCAAAGAAAGTATCTGCTGGGATTCTGTGGATGGCCTGACTGTTATCCACACTCCTGGAGTCCTTGGTGAATGCGGATCAGGGTGATCATCACTCTACTGATAGACAAGTGACGAGATGTCAGGACATAGTCGTACACTTTAATCCCCAACTTTTGCCTGGACTGTCCTTTCAGATATTCAGTCCACCGGGATACCCTTTTTTTGCCCAACCCACCTTTTCAGGTTTTCGACTTGCCGGGTGTACAAATTTTTCCATATGTATATCCCTAATTTTAGCCCGAACTCTTTTGGTTCACCGGGATGCCATTATTTTTTCCTAGGCCAGTCAACCTAGCGGGTCTTTTTTCATGCGTAGTATTTTCCGACTATGTCCATGTTCACCGGGTACGGAGAATTGTCACTGTCCATAGTAGTAAGTGTTGCCACACTGCCAGAAGATGTTTGTTTGATCGTACATGATTCGTTGTTAGAATTCACGTCCAATGCCCCAAGTGATTCAGATGGAGATCCGCCCCTGGCTATTTGGCATTTTTTAGAGATTCCTTGAACCCTGACTTGACTTCCCCAGATTATCTAGGCACCATGTCATGCCTCTTGATTATGGAAGGCCTATTACTGGAAGTGTCTTTTCCATCCGAGGTGATTCGGTCTATTGAGAGAATTTTTGTTCACCGAATATCCATTGTGCGAATTTCTCTGCTGTTGAACAAATAGTCATATGCAAACAATGGTATTTAAAGAATGCAAAGCTTATGTCTGTCTTGAAGTTTGAAAATTCATTTTTTAGTAAAACGAACAAATTTTGTAAAAGTGTGATATCAACTCAGGATTTATAGCGAACCCTACATGAGTTAGGATACCTTTCGTAACAATATGCTTTTGAACTAACCCATGCTTCAGCTAGGAATTTTAAGGGTTATAACGTGGCCTGGTTCACGATTTAAGAAACAAAGGATAAAGGCTCAAATTTTATTTGTACCCAACCCGTTCTTCGTGATGTTATTCAATCCTATGCTCAACTAATTGTACGTTTAGATCCCAATCAAGTCTAGAATCTTTGCTCTGATACTTGGTGATGGTTCATAAATTGAATGTTTGTTCGAGAAGGCAATTATTTTGGTAACCTTTTCTTTTTTGTTGAGGATTTGTAGGACCTCTTTTTTTTATTATCGCTACTTTTGCCTGAACTGTTTCTTTTGTGATTATAGTCGGAGGGACCCCCAGTTTTTTTCTTAAGTCTCCTTCACAGGTTTTTGACTTAACGAGCTTTTCTTTTGAGGGATAATGACTGCTTGTCTTGACGATTATGTGGAACCATCACCATCTTTTGGAGGGCATCTTCTATGCTATTTGTCGTGTATGAAGGTAGAGCTTGCGACTGAATGCACATCTGAATTAACTGAGAAAACTACCCTGCCCCAGGTTTTGATTAAGGGTTTTAATTTGTGTGAAAAGAAAAACTCCTACTTCTTAGGCTCAAAGGGGTTGACTAGGGATTATCTTCCTTATAACTCCAATGTTTAGGATTTGAAACAACACCTGTACATCGTAAGCGGGGTCTGTTCAAAAGCATACTGTAGAGACTGTGGTATCATTTTCGCCATCCTCCCTCTAAAGGCTTAGAGCTTTTAATCGAGAGTTGAATATCACAAAAGGAAGTAAAAACACAGCTTGAATATAGTGAATACGAATGAATTGATTCAACACAAACATATGCAATGCATTAATGAAAGTAACCAAAGTCTGACATAGAGATAAGTGTTTAAAAAAAACAAAGAAATTATAAATGAAAATTCGAATGAACAAAAATTTCTCCGCCTAAACTTCGTCACTTCAGATGATGTACCTTGGAGGGATGACATAAAAATTCCAGTTGACCATCTTGTGCAAATTCCAACACTCCTTCATCGATTAGGTCTTGAATTTTATATTTCAATGTCCAACAGTTATCAGTATCATGCCCCGGGCTTTCAGAGTGATATACACACCTTTCATTGGGATGGTAAGTAGGAGCGGAAGTATTAGGATTCCGACGAGGATCCTTCAATGTGACCAAATTCAACTTCAATATATGTTGTAAGACTTGCGACATTGGTATGTTGAGTTTGGTATATTGCCTAGTGAATGCATCCCTCCTACGCCGATTACCCTGTCGTTGTTGGCGAGGTGGAGGTTGGGTTCGTGACATAGCAGAAATTTGGAAAGGTCTACTCTCCATCAAGCCAACTCCTCGTCTCATCAGGGGCTGATTAATGACCTAATCCTCAGCCTCGGCTGTATGCTTCCTACGGTTGCATCTGTCTTGATGAAGCTTGCTGATGAAAAACCTCAACTCTTCTTTCTCCCGAGCTAAACTTTGGATAAGAGCCATTTGATTACTCATCTGAATTCTCATCATTTCCATCTCAGCTTGTAGTTGTTCCAACTGGTCATCCTTGTTGTTGTCAGGATGTTTCTTGGTCAAGTTCCCGTTGAGGAGTGCTTTCAATTCTTCATTCCCCTTAGATAGGTTGAGGAACATTTCCATGAAATGAGCCTCTTGAATTTGGAGATCTCTGTTGTTCTGTTTGAGAGCCATTTCCCTCGCTAAAATAAACAGCGAGAACATGAGAAATATGTACTGGAAGACATGTTATGTAATGATGCTTGATGTGTGGATGCAATGTTTTCAAGGATCTCGCAGGGTAAACACAAGAAAATGTCAGAAGTTGAATTTTAACTGCAACTTTGACGGAAGAACTTCGTATCGTTGAATGTCCTTCTACAAGAATCAAGCTCACTATGTCGAGTGGGTCATAGCCTATGACTCAAGTTGTCGTGCTTTGATAGTGTTGGCTAGAGGAAAGTAAATCCCCTCGCCCCTTTCTAGACGTCTGGTTCATCATAACCTGCATCACATGCCCTTGAGATCCTTGAAATGGTTAAGGAAATGCTATGGTATGATGTTATGATGTGTATGCTATGCACCAAGCAAAAGTGTAAGGTGAAGAAGACAAGTAAGTCTTGCAGGAAATCCAAGTTATTAGATAATGACTAAAAATAAGTCCAAAGTGAACTCACATCGTTAGATAATAAACAAAAACTCTGCAAGGAGTTCAAGTTGTTAGATAGTGAAAGCAAACAAGTCACACAAGTAGCCTTATGTTCAAAGGCTTGCATGAGGTTTAAAGGTAAGTACCCTCTTGAAGTTTAGTTGGTTCAACCTGTCTTAGAAAAGTAATCGGGTTCTAAGGAGTCTCAATATCACTGATCTTTCTTTATCAGACATTATTTTAGCTCAGGCGATCTTATCTCGTGGCCGAAATATCCCGAAAGTCCAATCTTAATGAGTGTAGCATCGATTATCAACCAATCCTCATCTTTATACCAAGGCCGGTTATCTCACTACTTTCTAATGGCCAAGTTTGTTCAACTAAGGTTCTAAGGTCCATTAGTACTTTATGACACCACTCCACGGCCCCATATTCTCCTCGATTTAACATAAGGGATATCAGTACCAACCAAAGTGTCACACCAACGCAGCTATCGTTTCAACCATATTGGTTTACACCGTACAAATCTCCATGATCTATTACTACTTACCTAAAATGTGCCCCAGATCCGGGTGTAGGATCTTTACAAGTAAACCCAAGCAAAAACCCTTAAAGATAAAGCATACAAGAAAAGTAAATTAAATATGATCTAAGCTCTAAGGTAACCCCACTTTTCTACATATCCCCTGCAGATTCTCCAGTTCTGTTATACGGTGGCAGAACCGACTCTTATACTGATTTTTCGTTTGTATTTGCAAATGTTGCGGTAAGCAAGAGTCACCGCC